TGATCGAAACATATTTCCTTGAAAATTAAAATGAGAAAACAATCAATTTTATTATTTATCTAAGCTTATTCCAATTATTTAATGATAGCGGTATCAAGGTTAAGGATAAGCGATGAAAGCCCCGTTTACTATTATACTATAAATGCATTAAATTATATTGCTTGAATAATTTATTTTAAACAAATTATTTAATAAATTTAAGTAAATAAGGGTGTAAAAATAAACTCGATCGAAATAATCCCAAAATATACCCTAAAATATATGTAGAATAAACTTTGGAATCGATATATAAAAAATACTTTTTCAAACAACTTCGTGTAGAACGGAAACACTAACTTGCTTGAAATAGCTGTCCTTATAACTATTTAATTTCGATTCCTGGTTCTAGGGGACATTCCATTTTCAAATTCAACTTTTGAAATATCATTTGTAAACGGAATTGTTTTATGTCCTTAAAAATGTTAAGGCTTGCAGCATAAAAAAATGTACTGCATTGATTTTTTATTTTCTTTACAAAGTAGTGAATTATTATTTTTTTCAATCAAGAATCTTTGCCTATAACATATTTTATATCAAGTGAAATAATTTAATATATTGTGTTACTAAATGGATAATCCCAAGAAACTGAATCGAAAATATAAAAACTTCATTGATTTAAAAAATAATAGAGGATAATAAAAATAGTTTTGAGTGTCCAATAATTAAAGTCACAAGTTATTCAAGCCTGACAAGTCTTGAGAATAGACGCTTATATTTGAACGCTCGAAATACGTCGACTTTCACTTCCCTCTTTATATTTTTGAAGCCAGTTGAGTTTTTATCAGCAATTATACTGTTTTACATTTGGGTCTTCATCATTATTTTGATAAAGATTTTACACTCGTTAAACATGTAAAAAAGTAAACATATGCATTTTAATATTTTAACAAAATTTATGTGGTCTTTAAAAACGTAAGAGCATAAATATTGTAAAAGTTATAATTAACTTTAAAATTGAAATTTTGAGACCAGATATTTTGAGTGAATGAAATTAAATATTTTATCTTTTAAGTTTTTGTGCCCCCATTTCAGTATCTTAAGGACCTTGCGAGCTCTGTTTAAAAAGAGAGTATCGTATCAGATATATATAAGAAAACAAAAATAATCATAGTAGCAGTATTTGGTGGTAAATGTTGCTTATCGTAATTGATGAATATGCTGTGGGACATTTTATGGTGAAAATTCGAACGTAAGTTTCAGAATGTATCGAAACATGAGGATGCTATTTGCACATCATCTTTATTCAAAGAAAACTATGTAACTTAAATATCTAACAGAGTGAAGCTATTTTTTAAACAATGAATCATACAATATGCAACATATTATTTCAGTATCTTATTCTTAAACATAACATATTTCAATGTTTCTCAAAAGGCCACTAAACATTCATCAATTCCTTGAGTTATAGAAAAGAGAAATATCGTAAATTATAGAAGACCTTGTGAATGGGCATTAGAATTGCTATACAATCTACATCTTATTTTTCAAGCACTTTTTTCTTCTTTAGACTTAGCTATATAGACTTAGCGATTAAAGCTGTATAAATG